AAAATGAGCAATACTACCTCCTTTTACGCTTTTTTTGCTTCTTTTTTTAACAGACACTGTCCTATTTTCTTTATAATTGAATAAGTTTAACTAGGCGTAGTAATTTAAATGCGCATTACAATAGGATTACAATTTAACTTTTTACTCTGAGGTCAAATGGGCAAGATCTACTTTTTAAAACGCAACGAAATTAAAGAATCAATATGTGTCTTTTACCGTTACATTTGAATTTAGAATGACAAAAAAATTAAAGCAAGAATTCCTATATCAGTAGCCGATTTTAATGAGAATTTCATGTAACAAAATCAAGATAAATTACTTATAAATGAGCTGTCTTAAATCAATGGCATCAAAGAACTCACAGACACTGGCGGTACAAATAAATATATTAGCTACACTTTAATGTGACATCAATCACTGTACACATCTAATAAACTGTTAAATAATATTTTTTTTTGCTTATAATTACGACAGCATAAAAATGTTATGCATATAAGTTTAAAATGCTTATAAATAATGCAGCTTCTTACTACCGAAACCAAGGCTGCTTGAAGACACACTTGACCAAACGTCATTCGGAATTTAAATAAAGCATATTTTTTTTGTATAAATTACTTTATACATAATACATAACACGTGAGTAGTATTTTATTTAATTTTTTTTGCATACTATATTCCCATATTTTGTTAAGTATTTAATTGTCTAAGGGCTAATTTTTCAATAGTCAGATTAATGTTATCTGAGGAATAAAATTGTTGCTGTCAATGTCTTATACAAACATTCTGACGCGACAGCATCATAATTATTCCCCAGGTAACTTTTATCTAACCATTGAAAAATCCGCCCTTAATTCAATATAACCATCACTTTTTACTGGTCTCTCAGTTTCTTATACGAACTGCAACATTCTTCAGATGTCTCTGCTTAACCTGTTACTTTTTTTAAATTAAAATATTTGTTTCGGCTGAGACTTACGCAAGACTTTTTTTTCTAATTGTGTCTGTTTCTATAAGTCCATCTTATTTCAAATTCCTTTCGATATTTTCAATAATTAAAATTGAAGTTTTTTGAAATTCAATTCGCTTTCTCTGTCCTAATATCCCTATGTATGCTTAAATCTTTTAAACTTCTCAACGAATTTTAAATGTTGTTTTTAATAGATAGGTTGATTGAAGAGAAAGGTTTATACGTATAATAATAATAATCAAACCTAACTCTGTACGAAGCTGGAACGGGTCGCTAGTTATTATTATTTTAGAATAGTTAGAATATAATGTTTAAAGTGGCAATGGAACAAAGACGGAAGTCATGCATCTGATAAGAACGGTTAACGTGACAGGAAGAGATGAGAATCCATCGTTTCAAAAGTAAACTGGGTTAAAGAGTTCCTCTACACGTTACTGATGTACTTGACTAATGTGATAATAACATACTACCTAGTTATAGGTATACCAGTTTTTTTATGAGGGGAAAATCATCAAAGCTGACTAAAAACCCCCCTGTTCCTTCTCCTGCTCTGGGCCGAAGTCGCGGTGCCTCATTGCGCTTACCCCGCAAGTGCCCGCAACCCCGGCTTATAGGTATACCAGTTAGGTTGTAACTAACGCTTAAACAATATCTACTAATCTACTAATTGGACATAGCTTGTTAAGACGTAGTAAAAGTAAATTAGATACAACAACTTTTTCTAGTCTCGTGACTAAAAACTTTTGAGTCTTTTTTGTAGATTTAAAGTAAACTGAACGTGTAGACGAAAATTCAGCTCAAACGGTTGATGATATCTGCTTAAAAATTTAGGTGCAAGATTCCACTACGAAACACTATTATGTATGAGTACCGGGCAAGTAAAAAAAAAATTGTGTCATTGTTTCTAAGGGGTGGTTTTCAGTCAGCAAGAGTCGAGACAAGATAAATTTGCCGGGAGTATCAAATAACTTGATGATTTTCGCCGCGTTTTTTTTAATGTACAAATAGGGAACTACTTATATTACAGAGAAAAGAGCAGTAGAAAGTCTTTAAACTGTAACCTTGAAACCCCCTACGAACGGTGCAGATTGTGGCAAATGATAAATAGATAGGGTTTTATCAAAAGCTTGTGCCAATTCCGGAGCTGATTTCGTTTCCGATCTTATTGTAATTTATTGCGTTGTTGACTACCAACTTCATCTGATCTCATAAAATCCTTGAAAATCAACGCAAATGAGAGTAAACACATTGACGTGGTAGTCGCTAAGATCAATGCCACTCCACATCTAAAATAAAATCCATAAAATTTTGACGTCATTGTAATGGACAAGAACAATGAAATTTGGAACGCAGTAAATGTCCTAATAAATTGCTGAGGAAGACAGCTGAATAAAATTTGATGAAGCTTCCTAGTCTGTGACGCCATTTAGCTTTAGTGATCGCAACAATGAATGAGCGAAAAGTAGGTATAAAGACTTTTGTATATTTATTGGAATAAACTCACAATAAACGAGTCTTGAGAATAGACAGGACTCCTGCATGTGAACTCCTTTATTTTTTGAAGGGAATTCATAAAATCACTTCTCTTACTTTGTGAGGCCGCAGTATCACTCCGGTCGAGTCGATCCATTTGTGCCGAAGCATGGTTCTCACACACTTAAATTATTTGTTCCATAAACATTATTTTCCTAAACTGTCTTAAGCTTCTTGTAAATCAGAATGTTGCATTTGACAACACATTTGACGAATCAAAGCTGTTAAAATCTCATTCTAAACAATGAGAAGATATGAATGGAGACATAACGTCTGGTAAGACGTGTTATCATATTGATAAATAATATTATTATACTTATTGTAATTGTTTTACTTCAAAAATCTAATATTGACAATAGAGCGAGTTGGATTATTTTCCTGTAGACGGGAGACGATGTAGACTGATTCATAACCTGACAACCACAATTGCAACCGTAATCATGGGTGGAAAAATATTTGAATTTTTCCATTCTGGAAGTTTGCAATCTGAGCATTTTTCTGAATTGATACCTGATTTACGATACACTTCTTATTAAAAGAAAATTATCACTCTTTTATTTCAAGAAATCTCCAGTAGATGAGTTTTTCTTTTTTTATGTTGTAGGACGGTAATCTCTCGATTACCGTCCTACAACATAAAAAACGTATTACCTGATGGTAAGCAATCGAGGAGTCAACACCAGAGGAGTTACGAATGCGTTGCCAGTCTTTTGAGGATTAGGGTTGCGAAGATTTAGGGATTGGAGGAGGGGAAGATGGATTGGGTCCCCAATGACCTTACTCACACGGCGAAACATAACGCTGTGGTGGATCTGACCCATTGGTACTGAAGCATGGCTCTCCTACACGTATTTCTTTCATTTAAAACGCAATAATAGTTGTGACTTATGAGTATGAGACTACAACGAAATATAATTTCATAGACTTTGTACTCTCGCGGAAAGTATTAATAAACACACAGGACTGTCCCAGTGACTGGACAATGCTAAAATAGACGCAGACGTTGAACGCTTTTGGCGACACGACTGATATTGTTTTCAGAGAAGGAAATATGAAAGAGCGCAACCGAATTTCCAAAAAGAATGAAGACAATGAGGTTTGGACATAAATGGACACTTTACTCATCTACATTTTAGAATCATCCTATTAATAGAAGAAGAATAGGTGCGTGGACGTCGGCGTTCGCTTGGGGTTTAATGAATTAATACGAAAAAGTCAAACATAGTGAAAGATGATATGATGATCATGATATTAAGACCTTTCTCTGAACACAAAGTAGGAAGGTTGAAATTACAATGCCACATAAGTTTTTTTACATACACAAAGTTGGTAGGTAGGATTTGGCTTACACACACACACAATTGAAATTGTGTCCAGCTTACATAATTATATGTTCACATACGATACATATATGTTCCAGTAAACAATGTGTAAATATGTATATTTATGAACTCATTTATGTAACCATTTCTTTCTAGTTGATGTGTCTTATTTGAGAGATATTATTCTTTAGCTTTATTTTACGAGACAGATTTTTATTAAAAGTGCTCTCTAGGATTGCACTCAGAATTTGACAATTAATTTCTTCTCTATTGCGATAGAATAGTGCTAATAGCAAAATTATTAAAAACATGGTGCACTGTTGGAATTTCATGATGACTGAGAGGAAGAGACAAACTTTTACTCTTAGACTCTTATTGCAGTTGCAACTGCAGTTGTCTATGCAAATAGTTGCCAAACAGTTACAAGTTATTCTTAAAAATACAGTTCCAGTTATGACAAGAACCATACCAATAGCATATTTTTAACATCAACAGTTAATTTCATTATCAATGATTTTGTTAACATTATGGATACTATAAATGTATCTAAAGCAAGCCCCTATGTATTCTGTGACATCATTTATTATTTAGTTTTTTTAATTAAACACTGTGTCTTCTGTCACCAACACCATTTAGACCACAGAATAGAAAATACATATTCTGACAGCCAACAGAAAATAAATTAAATCTTACTCAAATCAAGGTTTTTGCAAATTTGTAGAACAGGATAATTTTGTAGACAACTCAATGGCTCAATGCTGGATTTTAAATGTTACTATTGAATGTTTTAAATGTACATTAATTCACTTTGCGATAGTATCTGGCGGAAACTTATATAGGATAAATGACTCTTATTCATATTAAGTTGATTTTATGATAAAGAATACCGTAGACCGGGTAATCTTGTTGAACATTTGGTTGGTAAAAAGTATAGCTATATTATTAGTGTCTGTTTTTTCACAGATGATACACAATTTACCTTATTTTTATTAAGACCTTAACACTTATCAAACATTCTAACCTCAAATTGATTGACCGTTGAGCAACTCACAATAAATACGAAAACTATATTAATTATCATGTGGAATGATGATATTACAGTATCACTTGGTGAAAAATAACAGTATTTAGTGTGTTTAACAAATTAATACAAAGTTTTAGTGCATTGGTAAACTCACCTTCGGGCTCGCCTTTAGTCTTGCTATTTACCATTTTGGTCCCTGTGATTTGTCAGATAACGTCCAAATATATTTAACTTTAATAAACACTCAAATTATTATCTTATTTACAGTGAAAAACGGAAATTGGATCCTAATAGGTAAACAGAACTAATACAATTGTTTTGGTTTCATGACATTGACAGTAGACTTTATAATCAAAATTGACAACTTGACATTTATCTTCGTCATGTTGTCGAAGTTACGTTTTATTTTGCTCGGAGCATTTTGATAATGCCGAATTTTAAGTTTTAAACTCAGACTGCTTACAGTTAAAGAAGTAAAATGGTTTTAAATTGTATTACTATTCATTTATTTCCGGCAAGTGAATTATGTACAATCAAACAAAGTGTTATTTTTTATAAAATGACGTTTGGTTAGGATCGAAACTAAACGTATGCAAGGTAGATGCGATGACGACACAACCGACTCAATTAGTTGTCATTTGGCGTTGGTTGATTGAGGATTTATAGCGCGTTGATAAAATAATCACGTCATGACTTGTTTGAAATTTTGAACGATTTTAGCGGGTAATTTCAACTTTTGTAAAGTGTACAATTTTATATTAATTAAAAAGTGCTTCTTAAACTCAATTAATCGATTAAACGTCTATTTTCTTTACAGATGGTGCCAATTATGTGGAAATTGTGAACTAATATTTTGTAATATTTTTGGAAATATTTACAAAAGAATAAATCATCATGTCGAATGCAGTGGTAGAAAATGGGGCCCCTGATGAGAGGTAAGAACGATATTGTAATAAAGAAACTATTCTAAAGGGCTATATTTATGTCGGAACTAGATATTCGTAGAATCGCGAGGGCCACCTCGTTACCTACATAAACAAGAAAGACGGCGCGTTAATAAAATTAGTATTTAACTGTAAATTGGTTCTATAAGCTATAAATTAGACTATAATTAATACAACTTCTTTAAAACTCTATTTACAAACGAGTTATTTTTTTATTAGTCGCTTATGAATTAGGTAAGTAAAAAGTACGTAAATCTCCATTTAAGAAAAAACTTATTTCTCTCGTGATTTAACTGTACTAGTTTCAATTTGAGAACATTTTTCAGTTAATTTACAGGAGAGTTTGAGTAGGTCTTTTTTTTAATTGTACAATACTTAAGATGTATATCTTTCTTACCTCAAAAAAGTTTAAAGTTTCCATTAAATGTTCAGGAAAAGAAATAGGTCATAACACTATGAACAAACTTCTTGGAACACTATTATTGTACTTTCTTAGATAATGGTGGCACCAGAAATATCTTTGGCTTTGCCTATGTCTATTAATAAATTATCTTATGTATTGATTAATTAATTAATGACCTAATATTTACACTTAAACAAAACACAAAAACATTTGTTAAATTAGAACCAGTAGTTCCAGAGATTAGCGTGTTCAAACAAACATACAAACTCTACAGCTTTATAATATTAGTGTAGATAATACTTTATACCTCTATTCTTTTATAATCTCCACTTAATTATTTTGAAATTAAATATAAAATTGCTTGTTATCGGTAAAGGAATTAGGATGTATTTTTAATAGTACCACATTTATTTATTTCTTATAATAAAGTCACCTTTTCAACTTCCAGGGCGACAACATATTATTTCCCAAAGACTGGATCCAGCGCCACATTATGGCAGAGGCTGAGCTTGTTTGTGTCCATCTACTGGAAGGCACTCATTGTAGTGCTTACACCACTAGTGCTACTGCCTATACCTATATTGAACTCTGCACCAGTAAGTATATTGGAAGATAATTTTAAACCCTTTTAAAAAGGCGCAATCATGGGCTTGGAAATTCGAAACTTTTACTCACCAGAATGTTAATAAATATCACCACTTCACGATTGAATTACTTGCAGTTGGGCTCTGCTACCATTAACTCTCTCATGTATATATCTCAAAATATTTGCATGTGTAACATATTTACGAAATCCGATAAAATATAAGTAGATACGTTACTAGCTTCTGCCATAAGCTTTGTCCGCTTTACCTTGTAAAAAGTAGCCTATGACTTATTACAGAATATAATCAATCACTGTAAAAAGTTTTATCACCATGTATTTAGTAGTTTTAGCGTGACAGACAGACAAACATCCATTCATCCATACTTACAAACTTTCGCGTATATAATATTTATTATTTGGAGGACCAACAGCATTAACATTTACTAATTATAAAACAAATAATTTAACATGCAGTCAATTATAGCTCCCCACTTTTAAGCTATTGTAATACATTACAATTACAACAGGTCCAGAGATAAAGTATTAAATTACACTGTAATACACAACTACAAAGTTCAATCAAATAAGATGTTTTTAAAGAAATCACAGCTCAGCATCCTTCTCACTGTTGCATGGTTATCATTAGATATATTTCTTATATTAGTAGGATTTTACTATGAGCCTCATTCAAATACATTAAATGCATATAATAATATGAACTTTATTGCACTTTCCAGGCCTACAGATGTATGTATGTAGTCCTAATTATGGCAATATACTGGGTGTTGGAGTTGCTCCCATTGCCCGTCACATCTATGTTACCCATCGTTCTATTCCCAACGATGGGCATTCTGGACTCAGACAAAACCTGTGCAGCATACATGAAGGAGACCAACATGATGTTCATGGGTGGTCTGATGATTGCTGCTGGAGTACAGCATTCCAAGTTACCAAAGAGAGTTGCTTTGTGGACTGTACAAGTTGTCGGATGTTCGCATAGAAGGTGTGTATGTTATTTTTGCACTTTCTTGGTGGTTTTTGTGAATATTGTACTTAGCAGATGGCGCTAGTGTTGCTTTAAGTCCTATCAACACAGTTAAAGTTGACTTTGACGTTTACTTATATGGCTATTACGAATTAAAAAAGCGATTTCAGCTTAATCTCGATTTAAGTAGCTATTGAAACGAGTGAACCTAAATGTTGAATGGTAGAATAGTTTGATGGTAGTTATCGAAATCTTGATAAATGTTAATATGTTGTATGTCTTTCCAGGTTGAACTTCGGTCTAACATTTGTGACTATGTTCATATCTATGTGGGTATCGAACGCCGCCGCTACCACCATGATGGTACCCATCGTTGAAGCCATATTGGAAGTATTGGAACAGGTAACAAAAAAATATACATCATCTACTAAATAAACCGAAAAAAGCCCTAAACGTCGAGCCCATTCTTGAGTTTAAATAAAATAACAAATACCACTATGTTGATATTTATATTGAGGGTAGGTAACAAACTAATCCTAAATATGATTATTTTTGTCTGCAGCAAGGACTTGGCGATGTGTATGTAAACAAAAAGAAGAATCAGCCAGCGGAAAATGGCAAGGACACTAAGGCGGTCGCTAAAACTGGAGAGGAAGAGTAAGTGCTAGCAATCCTTTTAAGATAATCCAGTAACGCTCTGGAGTTTGGGGTGTAAGCGTAATATTGTGTCGTGGCCCCGGCCCGGAGCAATAAAAGTTTAACACTTTCTCTCGCTCCACCCAAATAAGCCTTAATGAATTCCCCCTCAAAAAAACTCAGTAAATCTGCCTATGATTACGTAATGGACCTACATAGATCGGCAATGCACTTGTAAAAGTATTTTAGTCGCTCCAAACTCAAGCATACCAGCTCCCTTTTTAACAATCTTAAACCCTGAAACTTTTTTTGTCACATGAGGTTTTGGTTATCTCGCTTAATAGTGCAGTTGCAGCAGCTCATGCGATTTGATACATTGTTTGCAAACTATACAATGTTTCCCGAAGAGCCCCAAACTTATCTTCTTATGTAGAAAATTCTCGTGTTACAAGTTCACAACTAACAATCGTGTCAATCAACAACGGTACTCCTCCGAAACGGCTTTACTGATTTTTACCAATTTTATATGCATATTCAGTAGGTCTGAGAATCGGCTACTGGTTATTCTTCTTACCCCTAGGCGATCAATAAATTTATATGGCAGAACAATGTTTCCCAGGTGATCTACCTAGTAGATTAATACATAAAATTTTCTCATTTTAGGGCTCCAATGCCGAGCGATATCACAATCTGCTACTACCTCAGCATAGCGTACGCTTCCACGCTCGGAGGATGCGGCACTCTCGTCGGAACCGCCACAAACTCTGCTTTCAAAGGAATATTCGATTCGTAAGTATTTTTACTAGATAAATTATTTTATTTTATTATAACCGCCTTCAAAAGGGTGTGGAAGCGCTAATGCTTCGGCACGATTTATTTAAACTCGACCGGAGTGATATCACGGCCTTACAGAATGTCGGAGTGAAGCAAGAGTTGTATGGTGTTTTGTCATGTGTGAGTGAGGTTATCGGAGGCCTAGAAAAGAAGGCATCATCGCATACCTTTATATTTGCGGGTATCTATGGTTCATCATTAGGTTATCCTTCTACGCGTTTGCCGATCTATCCTATAAAAAGCAGGAAAGTTATAAGGATATAATAAGTAACATATTTATAAGATAATGTTCAAACTACAGACAGAACAATTCAAGAAAGAAAGAAAAACTATTTATTAACGCAAAATACGCAAAAGTAACAAAACAAACAAGTAAAACTAACGACGACACTAACATATAACCATTTAAATACGCTGCAGTTGCGTCACCCTGCGAAAAAGGGGCAGCGCTCAGCATATTATATGCTGTATCTCGCGCACGCAGGCACGAGACAACAGCGCTGGTTTTTAGCGCTGACCCGCAATGCGGTGGTTTCCAACTAGTCAAATTCAATACATTTATTCAAATGTCAAAGCTTTTACTTTTCTATGAATCTTGTATGCAAACAACATGTATTGCCAAAACATCGGCTGAAATTATGATTTTATTTTAATTATTGATTGTATTGAAAAGTCAAAATGGTTTATTTTTGACTTTGTAAACTACCCAATGCACTTAGTATCATGAGGCAAGCTGAGGCAAGTTACTTGTGTAGAACAAAAATAGATGTTTTGACACAAGTACGACGACACAATAAAAACAAGAAATTAATTGTATTTTTTTCATGACAGCGAGTTTCCCGAGTACTCGAATTCGGTGGACTTCTTCTGGTTTATGGCGTACAGCACTCCTCCAATGCTCATAATGCAACTGCTCGTCTGGTTCGCGCTGCAGATCACATTCATGGGGATGTTCAGGTCGGTACCTTTATAATCGAATAGTATTTGATGAAGCTAAAGTTTAACTTATTTAAAACTTAAGGTGCATGTGCCGGTAGTCTTTTATTGTTATTCTATGTACATCATCGAACGACAAGCTATTTGCGTCCATTGACTCCCCGTGACTCCGACAATGTCGTTCACCAAGACGACATGGGCCCATGTCGTCTTGAAGCACTCAAGATATAAAACAGTTGTAGGGTTTCAAACTTTAATAGAAGTGTTGCCCTTCTTGCCCTTTTTAAACAGTGTAACAAGAAAATCTTTTACAATAACCAATCCATTTAAAATGCTATCTAATGTAATAAAACACAAAAACGACATAAAAACTTTGATTTCCACTAACAGGCCAAACAGCGAAGCAGCTAGAAAAGTGAACAAGGCGTCATCAGGCTCGGAGACCACGATGAAGGTCATCAAGGAGCAGTACAGGAACCTAGGACCAATCACTTTCCATGAAAAGGTCAGATTTTTTTGTTATGTAATAGATCGGCAAACGAGCGTACGGATTACCTGATGGTAAGCAATCAGAACCGACCATGGACTCCCGCAACGGAGGAGTTACGAGTGCGTTGCCGACCTTTTAGGGATTAGGGATTGGGGGTGGGGAAGGATTGAGCCTCCGGTAACCTCACTCTCACGGCGAAACACAACGTTGTGGTTGTTTCACGACGGTTTTCTGTGAGGCCGTGGTATCACTCCGGTCGAGCCGACCCATTCGTGCCGAAGCATGGCTCTCCCACACTTGCAATAACACAAATGTTGCCAAATATCAAATCTATACTCTAGTAGGTACTGTTAATATAATAAACTCTTGACAAGGGCCTTCAGTCCCTAGGGTTGCGGGTCAAGCGCCATAAGGTACCGCGGCTTCGGCATGCAGCAGGAAATGGAACGGGTCGGTTATTAGTCAGTAAGAGTCTGACACTCCCTCTCGCCTAACCCTGGGCGGGAGAAGTTATTTGATAATTTTCCACACTCAAAAAAGGGTATTCAGTCTGAAAACATTATCTGAAGTACTACTGTATAACAGCTTCTCCCTTGAAAATTATTGCTACAATACTGTAATCCCTGTCCTTGGCAAACGAGTTTGGATTGCAGCTAAGTTAATGTAAATTTATGTTTGTTTTTTTCTGCAGGCTTCTGGTCTCCTGTTCATCCTGGCGGTGTTTCTGTACATCTTCCGTCGCCCCGGCTTCATGCCCGGCTGGGCTGAGATCCTTACTAACATGTAAGTAGTATTTACTTTTTGAAATGGCAAATATATATAATTAAATGAGTTATGTGACGTCTTATGTATGTTTTTGGGTCAACTATAATAATAATTCGTTTTCTTATATTAGCTTAAAAAATATTTGGTAGTTCGACAAATAATAAAAAAAAATTTCTTTCCAATGCAATTAAATATTGCAAATATACACTTGTACTACTTACAAATATATACTTTTACTAATTCATTTTATTATAGTATATATTTTATTATCGTATCTAATATTTGTATTTGCCAAGCTAATTTTCTAATAAAAAAAAGTATTGAATTTGACTAAGTTTTACATACTTTATTTGGTTCATGTTTTCTAAAGTTATACATACGGCTACACAATGATACTATAAGTAAAATGATGGAGATAGGTTATCTAAACAGAATTCGATTTTCAAAACCGACACACTAATACACACATGAACAATTCGTATGTTAAGACGTCAAAGTGAGATGGCATGATTCAATAATCGTGAGTGAAAAAGAGACAAATATGAATAAAGTGTAGCTAGTTAGCCACATTTTTATGTATCACTTGTTGAGCGCTTGTAACCAATCTACACCTTTTTACTTATAATATCATTGCGGCTACAGGTACAAATAATTTGATCATGTATTTAAATTCACGTAAATTCTGTACTTAGTAACATGCTCGTTTCGTCACAGGAAAGTGAAGGACGGTGTGACCTCGATCTTCATTGTGGTCCTGATGTTCATCCTGCCGATGTGTTGCGACTTCCTCAAGTTCTTTTCCAGCTCCTCCTCATGTAAGTACCTCACTAAAAACTCAATTACATGACGTGATACATAATATTGTAACTTCTGAATACCCAAAACTTTTTGGCTTCGCTACTTTTAAACAGGAGATCGTTCGATATAGCCAAAGCTATCAGACGATATCATATTCATATATATACATAATATCTTTATTATTTTTTATTTTATTTAGGTTTATATTTTACTATGATAAATACTGTTGTCCTGTTTTTAATTTGATTAGTTCTAGTTATGATTTCCATATATTTTGTCTGTACAAAGTTACAAAAGCATAATTATAAGAATGCTGGTTAGCTCGTAACTGGCTAATGTATAAGACCTAACCTACAACCAATACCTTATCATAATAAATAAATATATAAATAATGATTCACGTCAATGAACTGCCTTCCAAACTAATTGGCATAGGAAGGACACTCACTCTAGATTGGAACAACATAGTATCCCTACCCTTACTTGATATTTGGTGATAAGAGATCAAAGGGATTCACAGGAATTCCTTCTGCTAACACGACAAAGTTCAAGATACTGCATCAGATTCTTTTCTTCTTCTCAAATAATATCTTCTGATTTATTTCGTTGCGGGATCCAAGACATTCATTCATGTCCCTGGGACGCGCCAGGCTTAGGTGTTCCGATGTTTTCATGGTTGTATCTACTGTAGATCCTGGCTTACAGGAGATACAGAAGTTTTGGGAGGTCTCAACAAAAAAATATGCTTCATATGAATAGCTTATTGAGTTTACACAGATCGCCAAGTGGCAGAAATAATTAAAAAACGTTTTTAGCTGTTGCCTTTTAAATGGAATTTCTAAGTTGTTATGCTAATAAACATTATAGTTATAGTAATGTAAGACTTAATTTAATAATTCCAGATGAAGAATTGGCTGCATCTAAGCCGTCCCCCAGCATCGTGACCTGGAATATATTGAAGGAAAAAATCCCATGGGGTCTACTCTTCTTGCTCGGTAAGTAAATTGATTAAAAGAAAAGAAAACATTCTTTGACCATTTTCGACATTATAGTACTGCTTTGTCTGCAGCACATTAAAACAGATTACCTAGGAACATTTTGAAATTAATCGTTGTTACGGTTAAATTTAAAGGCAATTTCGCGTTTTGTGCTGTTAATAGATAATTCAATTAAGAAAAAACTAAAAAGAAAATATCAGGAGAAGCCAAACTATAAACGTTGTACTTACGAAATATCTATATAATTTAGATATTTACTACTTACACACTGCTATAAAAATGTAACAAATAATTCTATCATTTTACTATCTGAAGAACTTAACTTTTTCAACACACTTCCTCATGAAATGGCACTAAGCCACGGCAATTAGGCACGTAATGACACCTATAATCAAACTGTGACATGATTGTGTTTCACGATTGAGTAATATAGTTCTTTTTTTAAATTATTGGTCGAATTACTCTCACACTTGCGCCTAAACGCTATTCGCAAAAGCCTAAGTTTTATATTTCTGACTTATTTTCTTTCCCAGGTGGTGGTTTTGCCTTGGCTGAAGGTAGCAAGGCGACCGGCCTGTCTGCGATGATAGGCTCCTCCCTCGAAGGTCTGCACGGACTGAACCACGCCGTGGTCCTCCTGGTCGTCGTGTTAGTGACGCAATTCATCACGGAGTTTACTTCCAACGTTGCTATCGCCAACCTTATATTGCCTGTGTTGGCTAATATGGTAAGTGTTTTGATATAATAGTTAGGATGGTAGTTTAAAAACCCTTATTTTTAACCAAAAATATTAACTTAGTTCAAAGGAAGAAGTAATAGAAAAATTGTTTTTTAGAGACTGTCCATCCTCCATTCTCAACTCCTCTTCTTTTTTTGAGGAACGTAATTCATCAAATGACTTCTCTCGCCCACAGGGAGTGATATTTCTCTAATTCTCAAATATATGATCCCCAAAAGACTGGCAATGCACTTGTAAGTCCTCTGGTGTTGATTAGTGACACGTCGACTCCTTGTCCCATTTTAAAATCCAATTTTACATCTGTCTGCGTTTGTACACAATAATGAGTCAAACCTATAATATTGTTTGGCAAAGATATAAATTATATAGCTGAAAACGAATATAAGTTTTTTATATACCAATTTAAGAATAGAAAAAACGATGATCAGTATTATAATGACCATTATTTCCATCAAATATTGTGATAAAAGTGAAAGTCACTTTAAAATAATTCAGTCCAACTAAACCATAAACAGATACTTTTGAAACGTCAAAATAGAATAGTATTCTGTCAGTCTGTTCGTCAGTGCAGTGCTCGTTCCAAATTGTAGATTCGAATGGAGAAGAAGACTCCATCACTACTCTTTTTTATATTATTATGTCCTATGTAACAAAGTCCTCTAATAATTGTCTTTTTTTCCTTAGGCTCGTGTCCTTCACATCGACCCTCGCTACCTGATGGTCCCCGCGACCCTGGCCTGTTCCATGGCCTTCCACATGCCTGTGGGAACACCACCCAACGCCATCGTAGCTGGAGTTGCACACATACCTACCTCTAAAATGGTGAGTACTTTTTTAAATGGTATTAGTTATAATAAGGAAGAGAACGAAGAAATAAGTAGGTTGTTCTTAAAAAAGATTGGTGCTATTTAAAAAAAGGTTTTATTAAAAATCGTTTTATATATATATGTGTTGGTTTAAATATGTCATAGATAGACGATAGATATGTAGGTAGATGATACAGTTAACTTCGTTAGTTCAGCTAAGATTTATGTTTTTATTCTAAGGAAAACAGTTTCTTGAAGCGTAATATTAGTTTTGTGTTTTTTTAAACTTAAACTTGCATTGTTAGTCACTCAATTTTCAAGTCTATCAAACAAAATTGTAAATCCAAAAACGAATCCACGACACGTGTCGCGGCAGCTAATTAACCACCGCATCAACTGTGGAGTCAATCAAACATTAATATTTAAAATACAAAATCTTCTCTTCCAGGCTGTCGGGGGTATTGGTCCGAAAATTATAACGACACTCATCGTCTGGGGCGCTTACCCAACGTGGGGAGCAATCATCTTCCCAGCGCTGACATTATCTGCAGGCCCAGCGCAAAACACGACCACAGCCCTTGCCAACAACGTCACCCTAGCTTGTAATACCTCATACACAGCCATACAAACTTTATCAAACTTCAATTGCACTTTGCCCAATCTTCCAAACCTCAATATGACTGGAGCAGTCACATGCAACTATCTTCCCTTAAAAAGTTAAATGTGTTTAGCTAAATTTAATGGTTTACATTTGTGATGGGCTATTTATAAATAGCTATACGCTAGCATTTCCATAGACCAAGAATTACGTACAGGTATGTGCCATTTTCTACCATTTTCTTATTAAGTTTAATTTTTTCGTAATGCAATCTCGAATGTATGGGTAGTATAAAATAACTCGTGCTAATTGGGTGGTACTTATATGTTCACCTCTTCTTTCCTCTTCGGGGATAAACGCCGTGTATTTATGTTATATATCCAATCTCAGTGTGGATAGAGAAATATTTTTTTTAATCCACCTTCAGTAGTCTGTTGGCTTATATTGTCTGTGTATAGTTCAATGTTGCCAACTTAATGGTATTTAAATCGTTACAGTCGCTGAAATTTGATCGTCATTTTGGTACTTAAAATTTATTGATGGTAAAATTTTGTTGGCATTTTTGTGCAATCTTATTAAGATTGTTTGATGAAAATTCGGCCTTAAGCTTACTACAAAAAGGTGCTATTTTCACTATACCATTATTTAGCGGCTTAATGAAAAATTAATAGCTATTTTTGTATTTTCTACAGTATAAAAGCATTTTTTATATGATAATTATTAATACAGCATTTATGTATGTATGTGGAGTATGACAGTCGCCCCACCGACTATATACATTGCCAAAATATATACATAAAAATAAAATATACATACCTAATAAAAATTGGACATAATTTTAAAGCAAACTAGAACTAATACAAACAATTTGGTTAGTAAAAACCAGTTTAACAGCTATTTGCATAAGGTCCAAAATCTCGTGCAGTTGATAAACTCATTAAGTCCATTTTTGCTTAATAATTATGTCCAATTTTTAATTTTTAATATGGTAACATGGCCAAAACCTAGTGCCTATACAATCCAATTTACTGGGACAATAATATGCTTAAATGTAATATGTAATTATATAAAATAGTAAGTTATAATGTATATTATATAGAACGGAATAAAGCGGGTGTGGATCTGTATAGAAATGAGCTTCGCACTCTCGTATTTATAAAGAACTGCTTTAGGATTTATTACCGTAACGTCTATATCATAACAACCGTATTCGAATGGCAAGATGGATTAAAAAAACCAATGGGTAATTAAGATTTGAATATCTAAATAATGTTTTCATGTTTTTAAGGTAAAATATAGTTTTGAAGGCTGATTTCTCGCTCAACAGATGGCGTTTTTGGAAAATAAAGTATTGTGAGTCATTGTTACCGACCGATATTTCATTGCCAACTAGCAATTCTAGCGCGGATTCATCTCCTACAGATTGTAACGTGATGTTTTATAGTTAAGAATTGTTCAATTCGAGCTAATAGGTTGTTTCGGAGATGCACGCGTTCAAACAAAGAAACTCTAGAGCTTTATAATACTAGTATAGAGTGCATGATATTATCTACACACTGGCAAAATCATATTACGCATAGCTATTGAAAAATCGACCTTAAAGACTATAGCTATAGAATCTCATTCTTATACGATTATTTTAGAATCTCACGTAAATCTTGAATAAAGCATTCTATAAAGCAGTTCTTTTAACTATTACCAAACGAGTGTGATAGCCCTAAAATATATTATATATAAAAAATATGTGAAGGTATATAATATATAATAAATATATAAACAAAACCAGATGTAGGGATATGTTCCTAGCTATAATTAGTTTTATTGTGTACGTGTGTGCGTGTGTGTTTGTTTTTGCGTGTGTGTTTTTGTGTGTGTGTGGTGTGATGTATGGACTGAATAAAACCTTGGCTGGGAGAATATTATTATTATTTATTGTAAAATATTCCATTACAAAACCTCCGTTAGCCTTTTCAACGCCATAATATTGCTTTTTTAATAATAATATTTATTTATTTGTACACAGAGAAAAGGGATAGGAAAAAATATTGTTTTTTTTTTACAGCAGGCAGGAATCTGATTATATGTTGCCATCATATGCTTAGTTACTTGCTAATTAATATTGTGAAATGAATAATTATACTTACAATTAAAAATAAAGACACAATATTGGCAAAACTGTTCACAAAAAAAAAAAAAATAATTCGATATGTTTATCCATTTCTTTTTTTGTAATAACTGCCGTGAGATACATACAAAATGTATTGATGATATCACCGAATTAACTTATAAAAGCTATACTAATTTCAAGTTACATGGAGATGTTCGCAGAGACGACCTAGCATAGCGCAGCCATTTTATTCTTCTATCTTATTATTTTCTCATTTATTCATAAATTTACATTTAGGGCTGGTCTTCGATTGTCACATACATGTGATAAAGAATTGACTGAACTTACTGCACGATTAGCGCGGTGGCTGGGCAACTGGCTACTACGCAACGTATTGCGGGTTCGATTTCCGCACGGAAAACTCTTTGTGTGATCTACAGATTGTTGGCCCATGTCTGGGTGTGATGTGCATGTCGAATTGTATGTTTGTAAACGCACCCACGACACCGAAGAAAAGACGAGGGCGGGGCAAAGTTAAAAAAAAAGTGGTATAAGCTCTACTAAGGAGTTTCAAGTCAAAATGAGACTCTCATTTAAGAGTGCACATCTCTGAATTGAATTAGACCGCGTGAATTTGCTGTTTCAATAAATATAGTCTTTATTTTCAATGAATTTAATATTTTATCTCACTTTATTACTATTCAAAAAATATGGCGTTGAAAATGGTTTGAAACAGCTCCACAAGGTGCCTTAGAAGTCCAAAAGAACAAATTGCTTTTTTGTTATTAATATAATAACAAAATAAATGTGATGCATTTTTATATAATTGTGTGGTAAAGTGCAAATTAGTAATAAAAATAATTATTTTATTATACTTAATATATTTTAGAGAAATACGTCTATTTTGTAAGCTGTGTGAATGTTGATTGCGTACATTGATTTAAGATTTAATTTTTTTTTAGGTTTTTGTTTTTTGTCTACTTTGTGTAATAATAATTTGGAATTTTATATCATGACCGTAAGCGTAACCGTAATGTGAGAATAAAAGAAAAGGAATAACTGTGATCATAATTTAACTGTTACTGACCTTAATCAAAGTGTTTTCTCTACAAAATACCCTTAATTACTACGTAATAATATAAACTTTGGAAAATTTTACGATGTTCTCAGACTTAGATGTCAGTTAAATTATCTAGTACGGCAAACTTATTATCTTTACTGAAATTTTGTGCATGCTACTCATGGCTATGGGCCCTGGTGTGGCTTGAAACTAATCGAGATAACTCGTCTAACAGTTACCTAAGTACAGCGCGGCCGACGTATCTTGGCGAGTCTGAAGTTAGCAGTTTGTCTGCGCAATGGATCTTTTGGGAACAAAATTGTGTACTGCGCAGCTAATCGGCTAACTTCAGACTCGCCAAGATACGTCGGCTGCACTGTAAGCCGTACAATTGATTGAACGTTATTTTTCACTGATCTCTCATAAGTATACGTAGTATGCGTCGTTTGAAACAATCACTTCATGAAGCCAAAATAATCCAAGATAGTATTTTTATTCAAGAACCTACGAATTATAATCTTCCGATTATAAAATGCATGTTACCAATTTTATAACAATGTTTTTATAGTACCTGTATAATAACATTTTGTAAAAACTCATCAAATTATCTATTTTTTTTTATAATAAATTTAAAGTTGGTTGTGATTTGTATATCGTCACAAATTTAATTTAACTCCATTTTAGCAGACATTTTGTCTGATAAAGACCAAATCTTTGCATGAGGTACATGATAATAATATGTTGGTATAATATATTATACCTATATGTTATCATGGCCTTTTGAATATAATATTCATATAATAAATATAAATGTACGTAATGCGCTCATTTTGTAAATAGTGAATCAAAGGAATGTGTTGTTGAATAAATATGTTGCAAATATACTTATAGTTTTTTTATACCCCGAAGAAAATGAGTGAAAATCATTTAGTGACTTCTGTGTTGGTAAGGCAAGATAGTCTCAGATTCTTACTGACTAATCCCCCCCACCATTCCTTCTCCTGCTTTATAGGCCGAAGCCAGCGTTGCGCTAGCCCCGCAACCCTTGCTGAAAGGCGTCATACCCAAAAGCTTATAAGCTTTATCTGCCTTTGCTGTAAATCAAGTACAAAATATAATTAGGTGTAACCTCCACCCGTTTGATTCCCACCTACGAGGTGATACAAATAAAAAAAACGGGTGTGTACCTTATAAAAAAAAAAAATATATTTTACAAAAAAACAGCCGGAGGCACACAAAGATTTGTGGGTCGTAGGTTTAAATTTGTCTGAAGTCACTTCTGCAGGGATCGGTACTCCCCTGTAGTTGTGGCGAAATCCCGCTGCTGGCCGGAGATTGATGGTGATGGTAGTGAAAGTAGGCCGAGATGTACTGCGGTGCTGCACGAAGCTATCGCGTCGGCGAGACGAGATGAATTCGTGTGCTATTCAAAACTTACCCTAATTCGGGATTTCCACACAACAAATATACTGAATCACTTGATTTAAAATTAATTAATTTTCAAAATTAAACGGCCGTGTCTGCTAGGGCGCTTGCCACGACGGAAATTGGTAGGAGGACAGCGCATGCACCAGTCTAGAAGCGACCAGCGAATGACACTCAATGTTATTGCGGCGCTGCGCTCGCGCCGCTGCATCGATCGAAACCCTTCGTTCCGTTCATTCCGCGCGTTCCTAACCCGCGCACAAACAAAGACTTTAAAAATCAATAAATTTAAAAAAAAACTACGACTCAATGAAAATGGTTGTATTCTTAGAACACCCCTTCAAAACTTCTGAGCTACTGGTACCTCATTCCATTACAAAGCAATGAATTAATAGCTCTTAAATTGCTTCAACTTAATAAAACATCATTATCTTAATTCTAATTCTGTTTATTCAGTATTCCGAAGATGTTAGTGTGTGCCCACTGCGGACTGATGGTGATGTCTGTCCAGATCGCGTTGGACCAGACTGCCACAGTGAACCAGACTACTATCACTGATATCACTGATGGACCGAGGCCCGCGTACATCTGTGGACGAGAAGAAGTTCCTTCTATCAAATTGTTTTGCATAATCGCTAACCATCCGCAGAAATAGTGACCAGTCCGACCTATTTCCAGAATATTTTTTTATTCAAGAGGTAGTTTCGACCGGAATGATACCACGGCTTCATAGAATACCGGCGTAAAACAACCACAGCAGTAATTTCACTGCTAACATAGGCTTTTCCTAACTACTTCAGAATCTCTCTCATTATTTTTTCCCAATATCGTAACGTCCCATAAACACTCGCAATATTGAAGTGCTCTCAGCTCCAAAGGTGTTGTCGGCCTTGGATTCAACCTCTGGAAACACTGTGGTGGTTTCACGTCGGTTTATTGCGAGGCCGTGGTAGGTATTACGTCGGCTGAGCCAGCCACGAAGGTTCGCTGACTCACCACTGATTGACTATTGTTAAAAAAATCAAATCATTTAGGTGCTAGGGTCCCCAACACATACAAATATTTAGAAACTTTGATACCATTTTCCAAGGCGGGATGTTAACGTAAGCGCTGACCATGGCGTTGACTGGCGCGCCAGTGACCAGGTGGAAGGGCAGACAACTGGCCAGGGTCGACGCCATCATGAGGTAATGAGGGTTCACGTCGCATAATACGCTCTAAATAACATGGAATATGCATCAACTTTTTGGTATTGTAATACGAGTAGAAGTAAAACCAGAACCAACTGTACCTACAATTCTTGTTAATTGCATCAAAAAGTCTGATGAGAGGATATGGAAATTAGGGACTGGAAGATTCATTCATTCATAGGTCGTGGTGGCCCGGAGGTTAAGGTGTGCCTCCTTCTCATGCATGAGGGTGCGGGCTCGAAATCTGGCAACTTACAAATGTCACTTTTTCCGAGTACTTTGTATATTTTAGACAACTTACATAATATTATTTTAGAAAATATCGTGAGGAAACCTGGATTTATATTTTCTTGTTATGAGTTTGAAATCGCCAATCTGCCTTAAGCAAGCGTGGTGATTAATGATCAAACCTTCTCCGTTTGAGAAGAGGCTTTTGCTCAGCAGTGGGCACTTATATTCTTATAGGCTGATGATGTGTAGTGTAGTATCTTTTTGATTGACAGTCAAGTGATGATTGATGTGTGAGACATGATATTCACAAACAGAATTACTTAAATACCAATGGAATACTAGTCCTTTTAGAAGAGAGCCATGCTTGGCACGTGCCATGGCTCTCTTTCTCAAACTCAAATAAGCAGATGAGACCGGGAAAAGAATTTAATATTCTGCTAACAGTTCATCGCGTATCAGATACTCTAGCCTATGCGTCATCTGATTGTATTATCTCTTCAATGACTATCAAAGATGCAATTTATCCGATCAAAGCGTACCTAAACAAGATAAAGATAACTAGTGATTTACGAAGATACTTATTTATCAAGAGACGAACCTCTGAACTTGTTTCGGCATTTTTTCTTAGAGTACCTAGTCAGATAGGAAATGCGGGCTTCATCTATTTTTTTATACATATAATGTTGACGTGTAAAAGTGCTGTTTTACTTATAGCCTTTCTGCAAAAACAAATTAATTGTTTTGTCGTTTCATTTGGTTGGTGGGTTGATATAAGGTAGGTTTAGATTTTTTTCTTACCACCTTAGCGATGCTAGGCAGAAGAGCGTAGACCACAGAAAAGTTGGACGCGAACTCAGTAAGTATCTTGCAGAAGAGTACGACGATGAAGACCAGAGCTGATGCCGGCAAGCCCTTGAAGATCAGGAGGAACTTCTCAAATTCCAATAGCATCTCGGAATCCCTGAGTGACTCGAAGAGATTGCTGCTGCCAGCTAGAAAAATGTAGAATGGTATATTGTTCATCATCATCACCAACACCAGGTGAAAGTTAAATGAAAATGAAATGACTACTGTCGCCTAGGGTATGGCGAGAGCGAATGTCAGACTATTACTGACTAAAAACCTCCCGTTCCTGCTCCTGCTCTAGGCCGAAGCCGCAGTACTTCTTCATTAATAATAAACCTTCCTCTGCTTTCGCCATAGGTAAATAAAATTTAAATAAACTTGCGGATAAAATAGCCCCATTGATAAAAGAGCGTGTCAGGGAACTACCTATCCTCCTCATGCTCCAGAAGCTGCAGTAGGCACTGTGGGCGTCAGAGAATGCGCAATGATCTCCGGATCTATGGACGGCGAGCCAGACCGACCAGAACCAGACCCGAGCGTACGGCGCGAAGCAATTCGCGCGCGTCTCAAAGAGCCAATATCAACATATTGAGCTGGGGTCAAGCGCGATAAGGTTCTGCGAGTTCGCCCTGGAGTGGGAGGATATTATTGCGATTGTACCTGCAACCCCAGGTGCAGGTTGTACATAAGTGATAAGTAATCTATACTAATATTATAAAGAGGTAAAATTTGTAAGTTTGTATGTAGGGTAACCGCCCAGCGGTTTCAAAGATTTTCTCTTTGGAACCTTGGGCGGATTTCCAAAATTCTTGCACTGATAGATAGCTACAATGTTCCGGAGTGCTATAAGCTATAGAACATCACGCTACGATCTGTAGGAGCCGAGCAGTGGGTGAAACCGCGCGAGAATAGCTAGTAAGTAATAAACCTACTTTTAAAGCCACATATTTAATTGGTCAAACATATATTAACTTATTTATATCTAGGTACCTATAATTAAAGGCACGCTCCAATGAATATTTCTTCGCACCAGGTTCCAATTCAGACATGATTTAGTTTGGGTGATCGGCAATGGCTCGTGGTTCTCATCTAAATATAGACAATCGATTATTAGTTATATCTGAACTGTGTCCATTCATGCAGAATGCGAGATGGATCAGGAATGTAATCATCCATTTGATTCATCACTACATATTATAAAACATACTACATTACATAGCATAATGTATTTTTTTATGTTATAGGACGTCGTAGTTATAGACAATATTACCTGATGGTAAGCGATCGGCGCCGCCCATGGATAATATGCAATACCAGAGGACTAAGGATTGCGTGGTCGCCGTTTTAGGGATTTAGGATTAGGGGTTAGGGGAGGAAAGAATTGGGCCTCCGGTAACCTGACTCACACAGCGAAACACAACGCAGAGTTGTTTCACGCCGGTTTTCTGTCATTTTTAGTAGCTATATATGTATATGTAGATACTACGTAGATATCTAGGTATAGAGTGGGGGTCATTTAACAACTTGATAATGTTACGTTACCTGTTTGTTTCTTGAAGTATCTGAGAAACTCCAAGTTGACAGGCGTCACGAACAACAGGACAACACAAAGAGCACACGGCGATGACACCCTCAAGTGTCTGCAATAAAAAGCAATGAACTGGCCTACCTTCATCATTTATAGAGGTATCATTATCATTTTATTTGAGGGCATAAAAATCAGTGATTTCTTTCGTTTTTGGAGGGTCGAAAGAGAGTGTCAGACTCTTCCTGACTAGGAACCTTCCTGTACTCCAGGCCGAAGCCACGGGACCTTATTGCGCTTGCACACGCAACCCCGGTAATAATCTTACTTCCTATACTTTTGTGCAACGTGCTTAAAAAAGCTTATACTATTACTTATTACAATAGTAGGTAGGTAGACTTTATACGATTTTGTAAAAAACCACTTCAAATAGCTGCTGCTCATTCAGGTCGCTTGTTAACCACGGGGCCGACAAAGTTAGGTACTTATTTTCGAAAAATTATAACATCAATTCTTGCACACCTAATGGTACCTAAGCAAACATTGTAAGCAGACATTTGCAACATAAGGGTAGGTTTCATAACTGTTAAACTGTGCCCTCGTATCCAGGCTTTTAGTTTTAGCATTTTAAGATAGTCGAAGCTGCTCTCATCTAGATTTATTAGAGGAAAGCGACACTGTGCTGCATGATACCTGTCTATTTTAAGGTATATGATCATGTTTGTTTACTTGTGAAAGTTTGGGCTTCCTTTCGTAGTCTGGTCGATGTGGGCGGTGCTGATTGTAGCCTGCAATAAAGCTGTCAGTGTTGCGATGGTGGATACTGCCTGGGTGATGAGAAATAATTTTGTACTTTATATCTTAATTAATTATATCTTATTGATGACATTTTAAAAAAGGTGTTGTTGGCCAAACGAATTGACGGATAATCTGACGGTAAGCACGGAACAGATGCAATACCAGAGGACTTAAAAACAGCCCTAACTGCCTTTTAGTCCAACGAGGGTCGAAAATTACCAAACGACTAGAGGAGTGATACCAGGCCCAGTCCCTCCCGCTCCCCTCATCCTTTTCCAATTCTTAAATATCCAAAACCCTTATCTCCAAAATTTCGGCAACGCATTCGTAACACCTTTTGCTTACCATCAGGTAATCCGTCTGCTCGTTTTTCCGAACTATCCGATAAAAAAAAATGACACACATTTAATGACTGAAAACCATCCCGTTCCTTCGCCTGCTCCAGACCGGTATACCGTAATGCGCTTGACCCTTAATTCCGTCGACCCTTACTATTGGATCTCCGGGAACCTCACTCACAAGACGTGTGAACTCATGTTAGGGAGTTAGCAATATTAGAAATGGTAGACTTGGGACCAGCACCGTAATGCACTTGACCCTTAACTCCCTCGACCCTTTCGGTTGGATCTCCGGGAACCTCACTCACAAGTATCAACTCACGTTGGGGAGTTACCAATATTAGAAGTGTGTAGACTTGTACATTGAGTTCTCCTCCGTACGTATAGTTTGAGTTCTGATATTCTAAGCTGTGTTTTTATAATAACTATCATGAGACATACTAAATTAACTAAAAATCGCTGGTTACTCACGTGTATAAATTGAGAAAAGCTCTACTAGTTTCGAACCACAGAGGGGTTCTTCCTCGTGAGCAGCGTGCGCGGACGCGGCGATGTCGCGCATCCTACATCACTTGTAGGCTGTGGTTCGAAACTAGTAGAGCTTTTCTCGATTTACACACGTGAGTAACCGGCGATTTTTAGTTAATTCTAAGCTGTGTAATAAAATACTAACGATCTCATGGAAACTTGGTTTTCCGAGCTGGTGGTACTGGGTGGCTAGCAGCGTGTCTATATACTGTGACTCTTCCTCCGTCAGACCAACCTCAACGTCACTTCGAGTTCTGAAACATCAATCGTTGAATTCTGTTTTATAACGAGAAATGATTAAATGTTGCCAGAATAGCAATGGTCTCTTTCATCAGTGTCTACACCTGGGCGTAGTTTGGTCATTAAGGGCTGGATGAGCGCTGTGGTGTCCATACATTTTTGGATTGAGGGCATTTATTGAAGGCATTAAACCTACCGTAAACCTAGGTCAAGTCAAAATCATTTAAGTATTTCAATTAGACCCATACAGGCACTTTAGAACGCCAAAAACAACAAATAAGGTGACTAATTCACTATGCATAATATTGCGTAACTTTGACTGGCAACTTTTAATTTATTCACCAGGCGAATTAATTAGATTCACAATAACTCTCATTAAAAACTTTTTGTTTACCTACCTAAACATTCCCAAGAAAGCGAAGTTCATCCACATGTATAGCAGTGTTTCCATGACCAGCACTCCAGGTAGATTCAGCAACATGAAGTGAGGAAACTCTATCTTCGGTCCAAGTGGAAATATACTTTCGAAAAAAATATATCATCAATTCATTGTCCTCTTCTCAAACGGAAAAGGTATTAATCACCAGGCTTTCCCAAGGCGGTTTGGCGATTTCTAGGTTATAATTTGGATTAAATAACTCCGTTTTATTATGCGGTAGGACAGCAAACGAGAAGATGGAACACCTGAAGCCATCAGCGCCGCCCATGGAGACCCGCAACAACGGAGAAGTTACGATTGCGTTGCCGACCTTTTGGGGATTAGGATTTTGGAGATTAAGGAATTGGAGAAGGGGAAAAATTTGGCCGGTAACCTCACTTACACCTCGAAAAACAACACTGTAGCTGTGTTACGTCGGTTTTCACTGCGGTGGTGTCACTGCGGTCGAGTCGGCCTTTCATGCCGAACCATGGCACGGCTCTCCCACGCAAGGCAAGCGTTTGATACCTATCTAAGTACTTGACAGAGTTCTTCCCGCACCCTTATCTATGATGATATGCGCCCACGCTATAGCGTCCAGGTTTATTCACATAACATAGCTTTGTACTATAGGTAAGGTACTCACGTTTCACAGTAAACCTTGAATATTTGATTAGTCTGACTGCCCATCATGGTTGCCATGTCACCTAAAATTATAATAATGTATACTAATGTATATAGGCTTAGAGCTATTGGGGTGCTTTTTTATGAGTAAGAGTTTGACACCTTCATCACCACAACAAAACCGAGTGGGAAGGATACTAGACTATTTTGATCATTAGAAGGCCTAATTAGCCTAATCTTTCGATATAACATTGTATAATGTAATTTCCCCGTCACTTCGACGCTCACTTCAAACTCGAACATGATTCAAAATCAAACAAATTTTATAGAATCGACGCGCAGAACACCATATATAGGGCCCACTCCGCCGCAATAATGTAATGCAGCCGGGTACTTACATATAGTGTCGGTTACCCAGTGCGCAAGAAGCCTCCTAATAACTAATGAAATAATAAATAACTCACCAATGGAAGACGAATATGCAATACCAAGAAAATAGAATACTGTGAAATTCGTTGGTCTTGGTAAGCTGCAATTAATGTTACCATTTTAACAGATTAGTATTTTTTTTAAACTTCAAAAAACAACGTAATCCAGTCATTTACTTACTTTTGTTCATGTCTATTTGATTTTTGAGTTGCTTTTCCGATAGTTTGATAAACTTCGACGATACCCATCTAAATCAATGAAAAATACAATTACAGAGCCAAAAAACAATGACAGAAATGCAGAGAAAGAAAATCCTAAAATTTTACGGAGTTTCTTGGAGAATACCTACGATTTCTGTTAAAGAGTTTACCCACCCTCTCAAGTTCTGCGAGAATAGCTTTGACTATAGGCATCATCAGTCCACAAGCGAGGATGTTAGAGATCCACATCGATAGAAACATGCTTGTGAAAAACAGGAGGAAACTTAATCTGAAACCACAATGGATATTATTGACATGTAGTATTGACGTAGTATTGGTTTTCGGGTCATTAGGGAAGGTTTTTAATGTACCTAACAAAAAATACAGGCCAGGTCCTGTACTGGAGTCAGGTAAAAGACGGTGTGCTTGAACTGCCATCTTTTGAGGGCTTGCGATGCCTTATTTATAAGTGAGGTGGAGTTGATGTTACGGATCAGTACTGTTGCTCTGTATAGATTCGTTCGCCTTGTTTTTAGTAGTTCCAATATCATCGCACTAAGAGGAGTAACATTTTATCGGTCGCTTTGGGGTGGTCAAAATTAGCTCTCAAGTTAATCTGGACTTCTCTTTGCCTAATCGGCCTTTAAGCTTATTTGCCCACTGCTGAGCGAAGGCTTCTTTTCCTAAGGATGATCATTAAGTAATCATCGTTCTTGCTCAAGGTAAATTAGCGATTTCAAACTTATAATATTAGAAATTATTAGTTCAGGTTGCCTCACAATACAATACATATATCTGTGCCTTTGCCGTTTGGCAATGCACCCTCATGCGTGAGAAGAGGGCGTCGTAACCTCTGGTCCATCACCACTGATTCAATGTGGTCCATACTTTGCAGGAAGATTGTTGTTGCAGTTTTTAGTGATTTACCTATAATGTGAGCATCCGAAGACAAGCAGCACTTTGATAGCAATCCTGCGATGAACCATACTGTTCTCTATTGCTATTATGATCATCATAACCCCGATACAGTCCAACAGGTCGTTCCGAATGTATATCTGGAAGTATGGAGTAATATTTTTATTACTTTTCGGGTCCTCGATCTTTCGAAGACTTTCATGTGGAATATCCAAACTAATATTATAAATGCGAAAGTAACTCTGTCTGTCTTTTCTTCACGCCTAAACTACTCAACCGATTTCTGTAAAATTTGGTACAGACATAGTTTGGAACTCGAGAAAGGACATAGAATAGTTTTTATACCAAAAATCGGCAGGAAGTCACTATTCCACGCGAACGGACTCGCGGGCAAAGCTAGTAGTATATAAATAATACTTTTCTACTTAACATAGGTAAGTATTTTTTTATTTCATATGTCAGTACAAAAGCAGACGGTAAGCAATCAGCGCCGTCTATGGGGCAAAGGAGTTTCTACAAGTACCTACGTTGTTGGTCTCTAGTGGGTAATTTGGGAACTATGGATAGAGGATTTGAGAATTGAAGAGAAAGGGGGTTGGGAGGATTTGGCCCCGCTCTCATACGGCGATACAGAAAGTAAGTGTTGCTTCACGCCGGTTTTCAGTGTGACCATCGAGCCGGCTCCATCGTACATGATGGAGCCGGCTCGATGGTCTGAAGTAGATATCTATATGGGATATTGTTATGTGGTTTAAATATCGCGAATCGGAAGATCTACATTATGATCTTCCGATTCGCGATATTTAAACCGTTACCGTTTTTCATAAAAAGTTACCGTCAAATTACCTCACTAATAAAACTCATGCCAACGCCACTCATGACGCATGAAATACCGATGGGCATGATAGCCAGGGCGCTGGGATGTAGTACGTCGAGTGTCCAGTACACAACCATCAGTAGTAACACGTAGAAACTTTTATACGCCTAGAAAAAAGAGAAACAAGATGAAATCAAATGAAATTGCCATTATTTTAAATAATAGGTAATTTATTGTAAAATAATTGTAGGTAACACTATAGAGTGACATGAAATAAGAGATTCAGCAGAATGGCCAGGTTCAATTCCACGCCAAAAAAAATATCAGGTGATACCTACTTACATTTTCAAAAAGCCGAATATCATCAATAATGCTTTGCTCAACCGAGAAATTATACTTGTGCCTCTTTGTTTAGTAATTTACGTTAAAGTTTGCGTTAGGATTTGTGTTAAAGAATCTGCGTTGACAAAAATCTAAGACTTATGCAAGTGTAAGACATTAATCTAAGACTTGTGTCCGGATCGATACCAATGTATCTTAAGTTCAATTCCCATAATCTTAGTGACTCCTATATTAGGGCAAGCAAAGTTTAGGTAGGTACTTACATTATTTCCTCCGATGTATATAACTGGTAATAGAAGTATAGGTGCGATAAGTATAACTAATGTTCTCCAATATGTTTTGCAAAATAATTTGAATTTATCTCTTTTGGTAATAATCACAAGGTTTGTTTCCCTGTTGTAAAAACATTAAAAATATTAAAGTCTGAATTAGAATTCTTAGGAAAACTGTTTGAAAATCAAAATAAATATGTTAACAAACGCAAAGAAGTAGTTACAAAATATAACTTTATCATAAAACATACGACGAGGAAGCAGAATCCATATTAGTTCTCAATATATATCTCTACTTTTACTCTTAACCTCTTATATCTTAAACTGCAATAAAATTAATACAGATAATCTCGATGGTCGCACAAAAACATTGTAATTTATTTGAATAAAAGGCTAAGCCTGTTTCTTTATTTTTTTTTATTACTTTTTGTTTGGCTTCCCAAAAACTACCGCGACACAGTGACAGATTTAATTTTTGGTAGGTTTATCTTTCTGATCTTGGCAACACCGCTTTAGTCCTATCAATTTTTTAATTGTTTAATTTTTTTCATTAGTTGTCAATTTATCGTGTTCGAGGCTGGGTGTATGTTGAACATAAACATTTTCCTTCACGATTCACGTACGAAAATAGATAAAAAGCGAAAACATGTTGGTGGATTTGGAGTTTGATTATAATGAGGCGACAGCGGCAATGGATAAATTTTCTCAAGAAGATATCAACGAGTTGCGTTATTGGTCACAGAAATTGGATAAATCAAAATATGTGCCGAAGGATTTAACTGATAAACAATTGGTTTTATTCTACAATGCTTGTTATGGGGACATGGATAAGACGAAAGCATGTATAGAAAAGTATTATTCATGCAGAAAAAATGGACCGGAGTTGTTCGACAATCGTATTTTGAAGACAGATGAGTTGAAGCAGAGTGCTGAAGTATTGTGAGTAGTATTTATATTTATAATTTAATAATACAATGTCGCATTACATCTCTACGGGTTTCAAGTCACTTCGATCTTGCAACATATGCCAACCAACTATAGGAATCAATAATATTGTCATCCCTTTAATTATAATTATGTATAATTCCAATATTAAAATTGAGTGTACATTGGTTTTTTTCTGGCTGAATTTTATATACATTTTTAAAAGCACCAATCAAATAATATATTCTAAATTCAAATATATTTAAAATTCAAATAAACCTGTATTGGAAACTAAATATTTTGAATTATTTATTAAGCTGAGCACAATATAATTATAACATTGGCAACTTTGGATAAATAATTTTGTAACATTTTTTGGCCTTTGTTGATAGCAGTTTATGAATAATTGGTCAATTAAAAATTCTGTGAGATTTGTCCATAATTATACATATGCAATTTATAATTTGTAAGTTTGTATGTAGGGCATAATCTTCGAAATTGCTGAATTTCGAAAATTTCCTTTGTTTTGGATGTACTAATCTGTAGAATCTCTGGATAGTCAATTTATTGAAAAAAAAGTCTTTAGGCAGGCCAAATAGTATTGATGCAGGTGGTACTACAAGTTCATTTTATTAATAACAATTTGACATTTAAATAGCGAATGCTTAAAAAAATCAGTTCATATAAAGATATATTGATTTTAAATTTAGATTATACTAATTTAAAACTAAACAAAAATAAACCTTATTGACATTTATTAGTATAATTCAGAATATAAACTTGTTAACATTATTACTCCAAATAAATTATTGCATCGTAAAAACTCACATTCTTACTTCCTAAGTCCTTGAAAAATTTGCTGCAGCTATATTTATTATTGATCTCAATATAAATGAGTAAAAAATTTTATAATGTATTATACAAGAATATCTTAACGAGTTTTCAGTCTCGTTTGGCAATACAATTACTGCAAGGTAATTTATTTTTAGGTTTTTAAAGCTTTAAAAAATTCACAATACTTACGCCCGGTTTCTGAAAGGCTTGTCAACGCTAAAATTAACTAATCTCTTGTCAAGTCATCTGATTGGTTGTTGATAATTCAGTCAACCAATCAGATGACTTGAAAAGGGATTAAATTGATTTTAACATTGATCGGCCTTTCGGAAATCGGGTGTTAATGTCTTAACATTAAGTCTGCCTATTAAAGGCTTAATGCTACAGGTATTTTCTACTAGACTATCAGTTATTAAATACCTACTTAAAAGACCTTTGATAATTAAAGCCTTTGGGTGGTTTTTATTGAAAACATTTTGGGTTGTGTACTTGGAAACCGCACAACTGGAGTCCTCCTAGTCCTTTCCACAAAAGACAACGAAGGACACGAAGTGATTTGCCTTCAGTTTTTCCATCAAAATTGCTAAGGAGTGGAATTGCTTCTGCTGTCAGCAAAGACCAAGTAAATAGGTTGTTTATGAGTAGGCGCGCTCGCATTGTCGTTTACTGCCAAGTGAGATACCACTACCAACCACCACCACTACCACTACCAAACCGGCCCATCCTAATATCTTGCTAATATTATAAATGAGAATGTTTGTGAGAATGTATCAATGTATGTTTGTTCATTGGTTTGAATTTTGGTATTTAAACAGGTGATAACCTGGATAAACACATAGGCTGCTCGTGAAGCCGTGGGCGGATACTAGCAAATACTCCACTGTAGAAGCCAAAAGGATTAGTCTGGTTTAGATGTCAACATAATATGTTGAATTAAAAATTGCTCTACTCAAGAAAGGGAAAATGTAATCATGTAGAACTAATTCCATTTAGACCCAAATGGTATTGTGTAACACTCAGAATTAATAATTTGTATACATATATGTATTCACAATGTAAGTTATTATTCTTGTAATTTTTATGATTCTCATGATCAAGATAGAGTATCTGGCCCTTATTGACTAAAAATCACTCTTTGTTTTTCTCCAAAACAGCCAGCGGTACATCATGGTGCTTGAACATGTAAATACTGCTGGACATTTGTTTGTAAAAACATTTAAGTAGGTACATAAAAGAAAACAATTCTTGGTTTTCTTTTTTTTTTGTCTGTTGTTGGCGACTGAGTCTCCAATACGATGTTGTCGACTATTCTTGGTTTTCGTTAAGAATAGGTATGATGATAGGGTGTGTCATTCCTTCAAGAAACGAATGTACTCCTTAATGTACCTATTCTTAACATGCTGGCCACGCACCTGTGACTCCCCTGATCTCGTTTGCCTCCTATTCCATAAAAAATCCTTTTAAGTACTTCACAAGTGAAAAAGCAATAAATATATATCCATACTCATCCATACTTTCGCGCTAAGAATATTATTAGTAGCATTATATCATTAAAAATAACTATAAAACTAATCTAAACTTTAACGTCATTGCAAACAGAAGTCTATAAAGAATAATTGTCTGTACACAAAAGGATGATTTTATCGCGCATTGTTTTTTTCTAAGTGACCGATGTGATGAAAGAAAGTATCCATTTTGGTTTTGTTTAATTTGCACTTAAAAGTGCCATTATGATGATATTGAAAGGCCGGAACTTATAATGGGGGTTTTGAATGGGATTCTTCGATTTAATAAGAACCTATTATTGTTTAGAATATTGAGATAGTAGAGTGTTTAAGTGCATACATTATGCATTGGTTTTAGAAGTAGCAAGGTATAATGGACAGGAATAGGTTCACCTAGCCTTATACCTACGTCGGGGAATGGGCCCCCTCGACTGGAGTGATACCCCTGGCTTCAGAAAACTGCTGAAAAAGTTAGCTCATTATTGGAACATGCTAATCTCCAGAACTTTTGGTTCCAATTTAATAATTCCTTTTGTGTTAGATAGTCCATATAGTCCATATAGGAGCCGAGCAGGGTGGATCCGCGCAATAGAAATAATGTAGTACTTATCATATTGTTTTTATAAAATAAATAACTTAATATACTTTGCCTACCACGTAGAGGAATATAATGCGTGACATTATGTGACTAGAAATTCTTACGTCCATTCAATAACATTTTCTTGTTTATTTTTTTCCAACGTTAAGTACTTAGTTAGTTACTTACTTAAAACCTAAGAATCAGAAGACTGACTAACGTGATAGTACACAATACAGACACTCAGGACCATTTATTTTACTTTTAAAAATATTTAATACCTATATTTAAGACGAGTAAAAACTTAAAGCACTCGGTAAGTCTCGTTGTGAATGCGTCAGATACCTTCTTCTTAGTGACCCTTGTACGTCAGATTTGCATAAAATGGTGCTTGTTCATTCAAGTTATTAATGACGTGATAAGTCAAGGTCAAATGTTTTGTTACCGCTCATTCTATTTCCATATTTTGATATCTATACCTCTAGTATTAGTAGTTTTATGATTTAAAAACGAGTTCTTTTATGATAAAAAACAAGATTTATCTACTAAAACTAATTATGTAGCTAGTTCCTTAGTTCCACATCGATTTGTGAATATTTAGTTCATCCATACTTATTTTTAACATGTAAGAATTTTATTGAAAGTTTATAAGTATTTTTCTTCATGACAGATATCTTAAATTAAATATGAATTTCCGCGTTTTTTGTCAATATAATCTGAAAATGTATTCCCTATTTTCAAAGGATTTCCGTTTTAAACGTATAAGAATTCCAATAAATGTCAACTTTGTCGGTTCCGATAGGCCTTTACCTAATAAAACCCTTTGAGTAACTCCATAAAACATTTTAATTAAATTCCTTTTTTCAAAGACTGACGCCAATACCCCTGTCCTTACTTACAAATTAAAACGCAAAAAGGACCATAATTATGTTTCCTTGGTCCTTTGATCCGAAATGAGGGTAATGTTAATTTTTACAGAAAATAAGGCATGTAAGGACATTTTATTGTGTACGGCCTAAAAGAATTTAGAGGTTGGAATTTAGGGGAGGAAGAAAAAAGTATTCCTTTAATAGTCTTTCAGAAGGGTGATTATTATGGTTTCATAAGAACCATTCTTGTTTCTTACGTAAACATTTGGCGTTGATTGCTAACGACTTTTACACAAAAGTCGGGCATAGGTTTATTAGATCTCAAGCTATAGTCTGTTGTCCCTCCTCCCTAGATTAACATCGACTTGTTAAATGTACAGTAGGTCACTCAGGGAGTGATGTAGTAAACTTCACAGTTACACTTATTCACTCCTTAGAGTATTTGGTCCTCGTGGTCACATTCTTTACGATTTTTTTCAAGTTATTTATTGTACATATTTCCAACTTGCATTAATCGTGTACCTAGATTAGTTACTTACCTACTTAAACAGTTTTCAATCAAAAATATATTTGATTTCAATGCCTAATTTGAATACAGTTGGTGTCAAATACTATATTGTCATGCAAATACTAGCTATTTTTAAGTCAAGAAAGGTTTGCATGTTATAAATATCCGATTGAGGCAAATATGAAAAAAAATACGCCATTTTTTTGCCAAACACTTTGAATGATTTGAAGATTATAATAATAGAAAATTATCCGATTAAAATATCGTTAGGTCTCTAAATGTTAACATTAGGACCGAATTAGATTCGGCATTTTGGTTAATGGAGATTTTAAGTTGGAAATAATAGTGCGACTGGTAACAAATGGATTGCCTCATAGTGCTGCAAAAATTTTTGTTTTTGTTTTACGACGAGTCTCGATATAATCTGCCAATGATGTATAAAACTATAGATACGTTGTCCGCGCTCTAAAATGACAACATGAAATGAAGGCAATTGACAACATCGCGCTTAGTTACGCACCAACCTGCCGCGCGACGCTACGTTTGTTTTTAATTTATATCGTGTGTGTAAACCTGTGCGAAACATAAAGAAAGCATGCCGTCGTGTGTGTTCAGACGATGTACAAATTATACTCCAAAAGTTAAAGACAAAAATGTGTCATTTCATGCGTAAGTTCACCAAACAACCTATTTTTATTTTATTTTTTTGACGCCGGCGCCCGCCATCTTATGGCGGCCATCTTATGAAAATGTAGTTTTACTATTACTTATCCTGTGATGTAACTGAAGATGTATATTTATCTCCCTCTAGCAAAGGCATTCCATTACACGATGTCATATTTTCATTCCCTTTCTTTACTCGTAGAAGTAGTTATCTAGTATTTTCGCCGTTTTTAAGCGCCGCGATGTTGGTTCATGACGTGTCTATATATAAAACGTCATTGTAATCTGCATATTTTTTTGTTTATATGAGCTCTACAGTTTTGTATCTAGTATGCAACTAGCTTAATCCATCTCCGATAAACTGTTAATTATAAGTAGCTGTACATTTGAGTTGCTGAGCTGAGGTAAAACAAAAGACCTTTTGTTTTTGAGATTATTTTTATTGTCAACAACATTGGCATTGTTTATTCCTATGTATTTATATATCTCGAAATAGAAAGTAATGTCTGACACGTAAGTCGGTACCTACGTAACATTCATTTAACATTAAAGATTTCCCTTCTTTCTTATTATTCTCATCGTATTATGGAAGTCCCTAAAAGGTCCGTTAATAACATTACCTGATTAAGAAAAATGACGACAAAAATTATCTTAAAGTGATATTTTTCTCTGCCAAGTAAAACCTCTGGACTGAAAAGAATATAAATAATCGTCATTCAGGCGTAATATTAAGATGTATTCAAATATAGCCTATTCAACTATCTGCTAGTTATTAGAAAATCAATAGCCCTCTTCCTTTCATCTCCTAAGACTCAATCGTCCATGGACTTTGTAAAGAGCAAAGGTCACTCATATTCTGTAGTGTATTTGTGGTATACATTGTTGTTTGGGGGCTCTATTTGTGTTTCGAAACAGTTAATACTATCTGCCGTGTAGATCAGCGATTTCAAGATATAAATACTGCTAACTTACTGCAGAATTTGCTTTACAATTGCAATGTTTGAATGCAGTTTCGCATTTTTTTGTTGTTGTTCGAATGTCGTCATTGCCTTTAAAGCACGAGGTCATCCATTCGAGAGCTGGATAAAGATTTGCGTTTCAAAATTCTCCTGTTTGTCCTCGGAAAGTAGGTCTTTTGCACGTTTGAAGATAAGTAACCAAAATGTTAATGCTTAACGTCCGAAATAAGCCGATTTTGTGCATGACCGGTTGTGTGACCACACAATGTTTAAGCTCAAAGCACTCCAATTTGTATAGTCTAAAAGCCATAAGCCTACATTACAGAAGGAAATTATGTATTTATCCTTTTCGTAGATAAACATAAACCTACTCAAGTCTTCCAGACTAAAGCACAGATTAACTAAAATGTCTAAAGCCCAACCGCATTACATTTGTTTGAAGTTCTCGAGGCCTTGACGAGAGGACGTGAGTTCAAATGTATTGCTGGCTAGAGAGAGAGAAATGTTTAGTAAAACCGTTTGGGAATATCTCCTTGTTTTCGCTAACTCTTTGGATACCAAATGACAAATAAACTAACTAAATATGGATTGGGATGGAATTCTTAGTTTTATTACTATTTTAATCCGTTTTACAAAAAAAAT